AACTCCCTTTTCAATAACCATCATCCTCCAAACAAGCCCCAAAACTTTCATCCTCTGCAAAAAAATCAAGGGTTTTCTGGTGTAGAAGATAATCAAGGGTGGACTACTGTCTCTCGGAAAAGAGGAGGTCGTAAGATGGATAGCAAATTGCTTCGCCATCCTTTCCCAGCAGATTACATGGACCCTAAGAAGCCCCGGAGATGTTTTAATTGTGGTGATGATCGTCACTCGACTAGATTTTGTCCTAAGGGTGCTTATATTTGCTTCAATTGTCATGAGGAGGGTCACATTGCTAAAAATTGCAGATCTCATTTACGCCCTCTGGAGAAAAAAGTAGATTTGTCTGATTCCACTACACTTTTCAATAATTCTAAGGTTCTTGCATCTTTTGCTATCTTGACTGTCTCCGAGGGATCGCCATCCATTGAGTTGCTTAAAATCAAATTATCTTGGCGTTTTCAGTGGAAGAATTGGCTAGTAAAGTTATCCCCATTCAAGACAATAGATTCTTAGTTGAATTCCCATCAATTCTTCAGTTATCTGAGGCAGTAGATGTGAAATTGCATGATTTTGAGAGGTTCAATGGGTGGTTTGCACCATGGACTGAAAATATTGGAATGAAAATTATAGATTCTGTTTTCTACCAATGGATCAAAATTAAGAATCTCCCTTTTCATTTTTGGTCCAATGATATTCTTGGGAGGATTATTAGTTCTTTTGGAGAAATGATCAAGGGATGCAGAAATCTTAAAGAAAAATTAAATGGCCAAGATGTTCGTATCCTGGTTAAAGTGAAAGCGGCTGATCAAATCCCTAAATCAATTGTCTGTTCCTATATTTCTCAAGTAGATTCTTTTTCTAGGGAGGTAATCTTAGAGATTACCCCTATTGGTGTTGGTCAATTGGGTTCTGAAATTATTGGCAAGAATCTAAATGCAATGCAAGCTCAGGGGGATATTATTCTTGAATCTCAGTGGGTTGAACAAGTGACTGCACCCATTATAGTATTATCGGAAATTCCATATCAGATTGTTACACCAGTGACATCTAAAGGGAAAGGAATTATGGATTCTTCAGAACCTATTTTGAAATCTGCTAATTTTCAGGACCTTCCATCAGACTCTGCTCCACTAAAGGAAAGTTTTCAAATTCAAAAAGAAGATCTTATTGAGGAGGATCCTAAGGCCACATCTAAGGCAGATTCTAAGGCCAATAATCCGGAGATTCCGTTAGCAGGAGGTTCAAAATCTCCTCCTGATTCTCTTGCTGATTTTCCTCTTGAATTGGTCAAGAAAACTTGGAAGGGTCACTCAGTCTTTATTGAAAAGTCTACTTGGCAAAATTACATTGGCGGGAAATCTGATTCTGCAAACTCAAAATCCTCGGCTACTTCTTTCCCGCCAAAACAATCTATAACACCTTCAGTTCACTTTACCAATTCTGTTCCACCTGGCTTCACTCGGCGTCCATCTCCGACAGCATCTTCTTCTTCTGTTCGCAAGACTTATGTCAGTCGTAAACACAAAAGCTTCCTCAAGCTGGCCTCTTCTTCAAAAAAGATATCTACCAGGGCTAAGAAAAAAGGTACATTATCTTCATCCTCCACATCTTCATCCTCTGCTCTACCGATAAATTCTTTAGATAAGAATTCTTTTGGCCTTATTGCTGATAACTGTGGTGTTGTTTTATCGGATAAGTCTATGAATATCATTAAATCCAAAGAAATGGAGAGATATAAAGAGGCTAAATGATGGTAGTCTGCTTTATAGTCAGTCTTGATGGTTTGGTTTCTATTCTTGTTTTACCTATGAAGATTATTTCATGGAATGTTCATGGTCTCAATGACCCTATCAAAAGGCGGTTGGTTAAGGATTTTCTATTCAGTCACTCTATAGATGTTGCGGGACTTCAAGAGAGTAAGCTTACTGATCCTACACCTAGAAAACTTCAATCTATAGGTGGTAGTAGACTTTCTCATTGGTGTCATCTTAATTCCTCTGAATCTAGAGGTGGAGTTCTAGTTGGGTGGTCAGATGTCTTTTCCCTAATACAGGCATATGTGGGGATCTTCTCAGTCTCGGTCCATCTTCATCACAAACCAACAAACTGGTCTTTCACCTTCACATCTGTCTATGCTCCTATTGACAGGGAGGACAAAAAAGTATGTTGGTGGGAATTAGATCGTATTCGATATATCCTTCCTGGTCCGTGGATCCTTTGTGGAGACTTCAATGTCACTCTATCCTCTGATGAACGTAATGGTAGTACTGGATCTTCAAGGGATATTAAGGCCTTTAGAGACTTTATTTCCTCTACATCTCTCATTGACCTACCTTTATCTGGTAGATGTTTCACTTGGTCTAATAAAAGACTAAATCCCTCTTTGGCTAGATTGGACAGATTCCTCATTAATTCTGAATGGGAAAATAAATTCCCGTCATGCATCCAGTTTTCTCCGCCTGCAGTTGGATCTGATCATTTCCCAATTATTCTTGATAGTGGAGGTTTAAGTTCTTTGCATCCTTTATTTCGTTTTGAGAGAAGTTGGCTTCATAACAAAGATTTTATTCCTTTTGTTTCTATATGCTGGCATTCTTTTCATAGTCAAGGAAACCCGGTTGACATCTTCATTTTGAAGCTCAAGCTACTAAAAAGAAGGCTTAAATGGTGGAAGAGAAATGTTCTTGGAGGTATTTCCACTAGGAAATCTGAAGTTTTATCTAAAATAAATTATTTTGACTTGTTAGAGGAGCAAAGACCTCTTTCTGTTTGTGAATCAAATGAAAAAAATTCTCTTCGGAATTCTTATATATCTATTATTAAAGAAGAAGAAACA